CTTTGTGTTCTACTTGCTGTCTCATTTTAATGAATATCAGCACACTGGCAACTTGTAATTTTTTTTTTAATATTTTGTGAGCACATTTTTACTGATGAGCCATTAGGGAGCTCAAATTTTGACGAAGGAGATTAGCACATAACAGAGCAACTTTCACTGCATTGCTCTTAAAATGGCTGCAGGCCAATTGTCCCATTGGTGAGCTCATTTTTAGCTTTTTTTCAGTGTCCTCTGGTCTGAGCAGGTGGCTGAGAAATGCCCTGTGTACCTGAGATGAGAAAGGTCCTTGAAGCAGAGACCAGAAAGAACCTCGAAGCAGTGCATCTTCCACTTGATTCCTTGTGACAGCAGGAAGCTGGGAAACTGGAAAATAATGTGCTGAAGCTAGCAAGCTAATTTAAATTGTATTTTCCTGCTGCAGCTGAAATGGAGTGGATGAGATGGGAAGGACATACCTAGAGGGCTTCCAGACCTGCTCATAGTGACCATGCCTCACTGGTTTGTACAGCCATCTGATCTCTGCTAACCGTACATCTTCTTAAATACAAATTGTCAGCCAATTTTTCCAGTGGCAACCCATTCCTGTTGTGTGAGCACCTTCACATGCAAATCTGAGGGAGCACCAGTGCGTTATTACATTGGTGGCAGCAGCTTCTGTTGCAGACTGGTCTAACAAAGCTGCTTTTCAGGAACTGCTGGTTTGTATTTCTGGTGAGTGCTGGTTTCCACTAGGTCACACTGCACAGAGCTAGATGCTGTGGAGGGAGGTGCCCAGCGCTAGACTGAGAGGCAGCAAACACAAACTGCTGGATGTGAATTCCCATGAGATAGGAAAAATGCCACTCTCGAGGTGACAGACCACTAGAGCAGGGCCAGAGAAGGCTTCTCCTTTTTTGGAGCTGCTCAGAGGGGGCTGGGCAAGGCCCTGCTGTTGGAGCTGGAGGCTGGGCTCTGATATCTGGAAGTTCCTCCCATCCCAGCTGCTCAGTTCCTGGTTCCCAGCCTCATGCCCTGGAGGTGAAGTGTTTTTTGGCTTCTGTGCCCCTTGTAAGATTGAGTTATTGCAGTGCTTCAAAGACTTCCTAGGCTTAATGGAAAGGCTGGAGTTAAGGGCTGCTTCTTCTGTATGCGACTGGAGATGCAGTGCTCCAAACGTTTGTACTAACAGCTCTCATTTTTTTCTCCCTATCATTGTACAAATCTTGAGCTGGCTTGGAAGGCTTTGTAAGTAACTGAAATCATCAGCTGACAACTATCTAGTTACTTCACAGATTCTTTAATCCACACTTTGAGTTTAATCTTCAAGTGAGCTGAAACATCTTTAGTCTACATAGTATAGAAGTGATATACTAAGTGTGTATTGGGGAAAATAGGACAAGGGCTTGTGCAGGTTGTGCTTTAGAGCCATCAGGATTGGGTTACCCCTGCATCTCTCTGCTGTTCCCAGTTAATTACTTCCATTCTGATGGAAGATTCTGAAATGTCCATCAGGATTTTACTTGACCCACTGGGGTTACTGCATGCAAGACTTCTTACTCTCAGTTGGAACTGGGGGGATCTTTTCCAATGGGAAAAGGTCATTTGCTGGAGGAATCACAGAATCACACAGAATCACAGAATCACCCGGGTTGGAAGGGACCTCAAGGATCATGTAGTTCCAACCCCCCTGCCTAGCAGGGCCACCAAACACACACATTCAGATCAGGTTGCCCAGGACCCTGTCCAACCTGGCCTTAAACACATCCAAGGACGGGGCATCCACAACCTCCCTGGGCAGCCCGTTCCAGGGCCTAACCACTCTCCTTGTATAGAACTTCCCCCTAACATCCAACCTAAATCTTCCCTCCTTCAACTTCGATCCATTTCCCCTAGTCCTGCTGTTGTCAGCCCTTTTGAAGAGTTTACTCCCCTCGTGGGTGTAGGTTCCCTTCAGGTATTGATAGGCTGCAATGAGGTCACCCCGCAGCCTTCTCTTCTCCAGGCTGAACAAGCCCAACTCCCTCAGCCTGTCCTCATAGGGGAGGTGCTCCAGCCCCCTGATCATCTTAGTCGCCCTCCTCTGGACCCTTTGAGGGGAAGGGGCCCTCGAGATAGCATCTTAGATGCAGGATTCTTCAGCTTTCTTCCATCCATTACTGCAAAAGCTCAAAAGAAAGTCTGGCAGAAAGAGAGCAATAAATGCTGATACAGTAAATTCTTGTGTGTTTTCCCTTTCGTTAAAAAGTTGGATTTGGCTTTTTCTGGAGAAAATAACCAACTAATCAGCTTTTCTTAAAAGAAAAAAAACAAAAACTGAAGGTCACCAGAACATTGCATTCTGTTTGAGGCTTTCGTGTCTTCGCAGCAAAGGGGAATTTGTATGAAGTCCCAGCTGTAAGGTACAGGCTGAAGCTGTTTGGGGCAGCGTGAAGGCTGTGGTCAGTGTTGAGGGGAGGCAGTCTGTGGCTCTCAGGGAGCTTTTGGTGGTATGTGTGGCCAGGGGCTAAAGTAGGTTCCCTAGAGCAGGTTGTACAGGAAAGCATCCAGCTGGGTTTTGAGTATCTCCACAGAAGGAGGCTCTGCCAGCTCTCAGGGCAGCTTCTTCCAGAGCTCTGCTGCTCTGCCACCCTCACAGTAAAGAGATTCTTTCTCGTATTTGTACAGAACTCCCTGGGTTCCAGTTTGTGCCTGTTGCCCCTTGTCCTGTTGCTGGGCACCAGCAAAAAGAGCCGCATCCTCCTGACCCTCACCCTTCAGATACTGATGATCAGATCCCCTCTCTCCTTCTCTTCCCCAGGCTGAACATCCTCAGGGCTCTCACCTCTCCCCATCAGGAGATGCTGCAGGCCCCCACCATCTCTGCAGCCCTTCGGTGGGCTCATTCCAGCAGTTTCCTGTCCTCCTTGAAAACTGGGGAGCCCAGCAGTGGACTCAGTGCTTCAGATGTGGCCTTTCCAGGGCAGAGCAAAGGAGAGGAGCCCTTGCCCTGCTGGCTGTGCTCAGTGCAATGGGTTCTATTGGCCTTCTTGGCCATTAGGGGCACAGTCAACCTTTGGTCAACTACTGGTTGATCAGGGCACTCAGGTTCTTCACTGTAGAGCTCCGCTCCAGCAGCTCACCCCCTAACCTTACCAGTGCATGTAGTTATTTCTCCCCAGGTCTAGGACTTTACATTTCCCCTTGTTCCTCTTTGCCTAGCTCTCACCCTATCCAGGTTTCACAGGATGGCAGCATGGCCTTCTGGTGTGTCAGCCACTCCTCCCAGCTTTGTATCATCAGCACACTTGCTCAGAGTGCTCTCTGTTCCTTCATCAGTTCATTAATGACGATGTTAAAAAGGATCACACCCAGTGCTGACACCTCCTAGAACCACTCTGGGTCCAGCAAGCCCTCAGAGGGCTATTTCTTTGCTTAATGAGCATTTCAACAGAAGTTAAAGTAGCCACCAGTTTCTGTAGCACCCTGTATCTGTGCAGAAGGATGGAGGTGAGTTGGTAGGTGACATCAATGGCAGGTATAGGGAAAAATGTTCATTTGAAAAATAGTTTTTCAAGGGATGCTTGTGTAGAGAGATCACGTTTCTGTTAGCAGGGACTGCTAAATGCATTCATATGTTAGGGAAAAGCTCTGCTGTGTGACTGTTCATAGCATTTGCTTTGATAAAGGTATCAAATCCCTGATTAACCACATCTTGCACTTCTGCTACTACTGCAGTTTCGGGAAGAGAGTTGTTGCTGCTTCCTTAAAATGAAATTACTTATGCTTTCCCATGATGGCATATATTCCCTAGTGCAAGGGGAAGTGCGGGGTGTAATTGTGCAGGGATGAATGCTGCAGGAATTCAGCAGGTTGGCTTTTTTTTTCCTGAAAAACACTGGAGTGAGATCTCAGAAGACAGATAGAAGTAGGATTTATTTTTGGTTGGAAACAGCTGATAGTTCTGTAGCAGAAATGGGAAAATCGTGGGGGCATGCCAAAGATTTGGAAGTCTCAATTCTGTGTCTCAGAAACCCCAGAGGGTGGTTTTGTCTGGTTTCTTCCTTTCAGATCAGAAAACACTAAGCCTTTCTGCATAGGCCCTTAAGGGTGAGTGAGAGCACCACACAAACAAGTAGCTTACATATGGACACTATGTTTAGGTGAGGCTGTGTCAGTGCTGTGAACTTAAAGCTTTTTGTCTGCAAACAGTATTTGAGAAAATCAGTGAGCTTCTGCAGGGCTTCTTGTTCTTATTCTGGACTCAGCAGAGGATATTGGAATGTCCTTGTGTTCCCATGGGTCACATTCAGTTGTCATGCCAGTCTTAATAGGCCATTAATTAAAGCTGTAAGTAAACTCCAAATTTGTTGTGGGCTGAAGAGCTTTTTAGCATCCTCTGAGCCGATCCTGCCCTAAGGGTTTACAGTGCCCTGTAGTGCACTGTGGTACAGGTGCAGGTCCATAGAGGCACTGCCTGTGTTGCTGGAGCAATGGTTTGGTCTTAGAATCATGAAGGTTGGAAGAGATCTTGAAAAATCATCGAGTCCAAATGTCAGCCCATCCCCACCACGTCCCCAGTGCCACATCCCCTCAGTTCTCAAACACCTCCCTGGGCAGCTGTGCCAATGCATCACCACTCTTTCGTTGAATAAATATTTCCTAATAGTATCTTGCACAAATTCACAGGAATTTTAAGTGTTGATGATTTAAAATTAACTTTCTAGCATGAAAAGCTTCTACTCCCACCAAAAAAAGCCCTCCAAAGCCATACTGGCATCTCTTGTCTGGATTTGTAGAAAATAAACTGAGAAGCCCAACAGATACACGTTTCTTTCTCTGCTGGTGTTGCTGATATTACCTAGTCTTACTGTTACTGCAGATCTGCCCAGAACTTTTTAAAAACAAATAAAAGTTGTTTCTGGTGGATGGGGAGGAGGGTTCATGTTAATGCTTAGAAGTTGTTTTGCTGAAGTTTTTAAAGGGGTGTTTCTCTCCTTTTTTTGGGTTGCACTCCAACTCCAGAAGGTAAGAACCACTGCTGATTGTTGTGAAGCCGTTCTGTTTTAACACAAGCTGCACAAGCCTTAATTGAAGAGCCCTGCTTGTTTCACGTGGGCATAAAAACAAAGTTAAAGCAGTGTAATTAGTGTCAATGCTTGTTGCACTAACCTGCCTTCGCTGTACGCTGTTTGCATTTGTGTTTGACTATAATGCAAACATGAAGCCTGCTTGCAAGTTGTGGCAGTGTCAGGCTAACAGCACGGAATGCTCAGTGTCTCACCAAATTAACATCGCTGTGCAGTCTTGGGTTTGCACTTGGTTTGCATGATGGCTTTGTGCATCTTTGTCTGTGCGTAGAATCTGCTCTATTCATAGAAGGAGCTGCTTCTGAATCTTAAATTTGTTTTAACAAGCTTTGAGTTGGTGCTGTGGCATCTGCTTACCATCCATGCCTCTCTGCTGTGGCGCTTGATGTGAATCGATTGGGTCTTAAAGCCTATTTTAATTTGCTAATGAACCGAAAGCTTTTTGTGTGAATGTCTGATTCAGAGGGAATGGGGGGAGAAAGGGATACTCAAATATGGGGAAATCCCTCACCCTTAAACACAGCTGGATCCATTAGGGCCTTTTTGTCAAGTTCCATGAATTGCAGTGAAGATGTGAAAGGTGGATGCTCACTGCTGGATGCACTTTATACAAACTTCCATTTACAGCAAAACAGTCATTAACTCTTCTGCAGAACCCCGAGCTGTGCAGAGGTGGGTTCTGAGCAGCATTTCTGTGCCAAGCACCAGTGCACATCCTGCCTGCAGGACCTGCTGGAGCTGTGGTGGTTCTGCTCCAAGGCAGGGAGTTGCTGGCCGTGTGCTCTGCTAACAAATGATTACTGGAGCTTTAATATAAAGGAGCCTTCTGAAGGATAAGTATGCCTTGTATCGTGTTCTGAGTGCAAGTTTGAGTTCCAGCACTGCAGAGATGAGAACTCTGTGGTGTCAGGCCAGCATCCCATCACAGGTGGCTGTACAAAAATGATTCTGTCACACTTTGTTTTCGAATCAGAACAAATCTGCTCAGTCCCTGAGGTCTCAGGGCAGGGCTGGTTGGGAAGGGCTCGGTGGTGGAATTGGCAAACCTGGAAAGAAGTGTTACACATCTTTTTTCCCACTGAGCATGTTCACCATAGAGCTATCTCATCCTTACCTGATGCACATTCACCATTTTCAAGCTCCTTTTTCTCCTGTTCAGTCTGAAGAAGCTTTGAATTTAACATGGAATGTAAGAGGCCGTGATTTAATGAAGGCTGAAATTTGACATTTCTCAGAAAGGGAGCTTGGTATGTATGCATCTGCTGGGAAGTAGCTTAGAGAAACACTCTGAGGGGTGAGAGCTTCAAGTGTGCATTTCTTATGCTGTTGGTCTCATAGCTAGCTACCCTCATGCTATCACAGTGTCAAGCAGTGCTGAGTACAGCAATAGTGGGGGAGTGGTTGGGAACGAGGTGACAGAGCAGACACCTTCCAGGTCATTAAAACAGCACAGTGTAGATGGAATGGTTGTGAAGAGTCATGGAGGACCACCCCTTCGGCCAGCTATAAGCACTGCACTTAGATGTACAGCTAACAGGTCAGTGCCTACTCTGGTAATGCAGAGTTCAAGAATGTGTGTGTGCTCAGCTCTCACTGTGCTGGGTGGTCACCTGGTGAGTATAGGTGAGTGCTTGCTTGTATGCTGAGGCAGCACCTGTAACTGCAAGGGTTCCTGATGGTGCTCTGAAACATGCCTTTTGCCTTTCGTAGAGGTAGCTTTGGGTGGGTGGATGTGTAACTCCCTACTGCTTTCCAAGCTGAAATGCACTGCAGAAGAAAAAACAAAACAGAAAACTTTCAGTGGCATGCCATAAAACTGGCTTAAGTTTGTACCTACTTCTGTTGAACAGTTGGCATCATGCACCAGATCAGTTCCATTTGCAAACATTCTTACCAAAGAAAAGGTCATTTTGATTCATGAGCTGGCACAGGTTGCCCAGGGGGGTGATGGATGCCCCATCCCCTCAGACACCCAAGGCTAGGCTGGATGGAGCTCTGAGCACTGATGGAGCTGTAGGTGTCCCTGTTCATTGCAGGCAGTTGGTCCAGGTGGCCTTTAAAGGTCCCTTCCAACTCAATTATACAATTCTAAAGGCTGGGTTCTGCTTTGAGGCCTATGAAGTACCTTGCACATTACCAGGACCTCGTGGTCAGGGTGCCCAGCCAACCACGGCCCCAAATGGCAGCAGTGCAGGTGTGGGTGACATCCCATAGTTGTTAATGGCGCATCTGAAGCGTGCAGGAACCCTTCTTTCCCTTCATGTGCTTCTACCTGCTGGCTTTGGGGTGCAGCAATGGGAGCAGGTGGTAATGGCCTTAAGTTGTGCCGATGTGCTGGAGATGTGTTTTCCAGATGGGAGGTTTGGGTGTCCCAGCAGGATCTGTGTCTGCTGGTGTGGGATCTGAGTATGGCTGTGGCAGGAAGGGCTCAAAGCGAATGCCATGAGGGATGTGCACCTCATAGCCAGACTGAACCCAGCTTTCTGAAAGCTACGTGAGATTTACTGAGTGGATTTTAACCTGTAAAATTTTCAGTTAGATGTGTGAAAGGTTAGAATGGTGTTAGCTTTGTGCCAGGTTTCTAAGGAGCCTATGGAGGAAGGCAGGTAACGATAGGTGAATGTGAGAAGAAATTAAAGCAGAAATAATGGGTAAGCTGTTAAACAGTGGAATTAAGTAGGCGTGGGATCATGGAATCGTAGAACCCATCACCACTGTTACACATCCCTCAGTGCCACATCTCCATGTCTCAAACATTTCCAGGGATGGTGACCTCACCACCTCCCTGGGCAGCCTGTGCCACTGCATCACCTCTCTTTTGGAGAAGGAATGTTTCCTAATATCCAGCCTGAACATCCCATGTGCAACTTGAGGACATCACACCTCATTCTATCACTAGTTATCTGAGTAGTATGAATGACAGACTGTTCCAACCTTTGTAAAGCTTGGTCATGCCCAAACTTGGTTCTTTGTTGAGCTTTCAGAGCATGGCTTTACCTAGGTTCTTGTGAAATGCCTGGCTTAGCTCTGATCTGCTGTCCTGATCAAGTTTTTAGGAGGAATGAGCTCAAGGTCAGGTATGTGGTGAGCTTCTTGCATGCAGTTAAGTGCAGAAATGGGTTTTGCATAAAGAAGGGAAAGGTTTTGTGCTGGAAAGCAACACCTTTGAAAAGAATATGGGGCTGCTGTAGGAAACAGTACTGGGTTGTAGCTTCCAGGGTGACCCTGTAGCTTTCAAGAGGTGAGGAATAGGATTGCAAAACATCTGCCTGGCCGTAGTGAAGTCAGCTAATGTGCAGTATTGCTGCTGGTTCTGGGCACTGGCAGAATGGAAGCAGAGCTCAGGACTGGGCTTGGTGTGGGATGATGTTCTCAGTGTAAATGTGCTCAGGAGAAACTTCTATCCAGGGATGGAGTTGTCTGGAGGCGAGCACAAGCTCTCAGCAGAGGTGCCAGTGTTCTGACCCTCAGCTGTCTGTCTGCATCAGCCACGGCAGACATTAGGAGGTGGAGCTGGGTGAAACTCAGTTCTGCCATGCAAGAAGAGCAGGGAATTCTAATGCTCTCTGCAGTCTGTAGTTAGCTTGCAACAGATCTGCTCTGAGTTTCAGAGATGCAACTTTTTGCACTTGGAGCTGTATGAATAAGTGTCCATTTTGACGTTCTGCAAAGAAGAGGTGGAGGGCCTGAGCACGGGGGCTTCTTGTGTGCTTTTTTTCCTGGAACTGGAGCATGGCTACGTCAGGCTGGTTTCACCATTGCTTGTTGTGGCTGATTCAACTCGTATCAGTGGGAATGCCCGTTGGGTCTGTGCTCTGTGCATGCTTGGTCCTTGGGTGAGGGGTTGTGACTCCCAGCAGAAGATGAAATCTGTCCATACAAATGCAAAAAATTAATGCTGTGCTTTTATTTTCAGTGGGACTTCTCCTCTTGCATGCCTGAATGCTATGTTACATACGAACTCCAGAGGGGAAGAGGGCATTTTCTATAAGGTCCCAGGGCGGATGGGAGTGTACACTCTGAAGGTAAGTTTCTCAGCTGGGCAGATTGTTTGAGTGCTCAGTGGCTTTTGTTCCTTTACAGATATTTTGCACTAGGGTAAATCCAGTGTAGGGAAGAGGGAGCTGTTCCTCACTAGCGTGGATTGTAGTGTGAGCTGTACCTCCAAACACAAACACTGAACTCCTCATTCTTGCTGGTGATCATCTGCGTGCAGAAAATAGAACCAAAACAGTGCTGGGTTTTTTTCACAGAGGTGTAGATTGCTGGTGTTAATTATCACCCAGAAATGAAATTGTAATAAAATTGCAACCACAGAAAAGTAACATTATCACCACTCAACTCATATCTGGAAGAGAAATAGCCCCTTATCCTTAATCTATTAATAGCAGACAGGAAGTATTTCTAGGAAAAAGGTGTAGAATCCTTCGTGTAGCTGATTTGTTCTTCTAAAAACAATCTCTATTTGTGGTTTCTTTTCCCCACTTACACTACTCAGATGAGGCCTGCTCTCACTGTTCTTGGTTTTCTATGTACTTGAAACTGGTGACTTTGCCATAAGATTCCTCTCGCTAATTTAGATCTCTACAGTGTTGGTTGTGTCTGCTGTAGCCACGCTCTTCTTCTCAGTCCATGCTCCAGAGAGAGCAGTAGTAGCTTCTGAGGTAATGTTTGACTTATCCTGTAATATTTAAATCATTTGAATTGGAAAAGGTCTCTAAGATGGTGTAGTCCAACCCGTCACCACCAGGCCCACTAAACCATGTCCTGAAATGCCACAGAATCACAGGATGGCCAGGGTTGGAAGGGACCTCAAGGATCATGAATCTCCAACCCCCCTGCCACATGCAGGGCCACCAACCTCCACGTTTAATGCTAAACCAGGCTGCCCAGGGCCCCATCCAACCTGGCCTTGAACACCTCCAAGGACGGGGCATCCACAGCCTCTCTGGGCAGCCCGTTCCAGTACCTCACCTCTCTCTGGGTAGAGAATTTCCCCCTGATGTCTGACCTAAATCTCCCCTCCCTCAACTTAAAACCATTTCCCCTCATCCTACACATATCAATCCTTTCAAAGAGTTGATGCCACATCTCCATGGTTCTTTTTCTTGGAAATCCAGACCAAGGCAGACGAGTGTTCCTCCATTTTCCCATCTTATTACTTGTTACAGGTGCTGGAGCATCCTGCTGTTCCCCCAGTTAGTGGCTGGAGCCTTCTGGTGATTGGCAGTGCCCTGTACCTCTGTCCATTTGGCTCATGTCCCCATGTGCTTGTATTTATTGCTTCCCCTGTACTTATTATCCCCTTTGCAGCAGAAAGGCTCACAACTGGATTTCCTGTTCACCGGTAGCCTGAAAGATTCCAGTCTGTAGGAATATTTCTAACCTGATGTTTGGAGAAGTCCATCAAGCTCACCACAGGTGATAAAACAGAGCACATCATCTTGCAGAAGTATTTATAGGAGTGCTAGCTGGAAAACCAGATTTTATTTGATTATTCCATATGGTTCCCTAAATGGAGGAAGCTTAATTATTGAAAGAAGATCAGTTATAAAGAGAAGATGTTTCTGTAGTTTAGAGTACACTTCTGCTTTGAAAACAGGACGTGCAATAGGGAGAGGTAAAGGTGCCTAAAGGAATTTGTGTTAATGAAGATCACGCATTGACATCTTCCTTGGAGCACAGTTATGGAGAGCAGCAGAGGGAGCAGGGATTGTTTTCTCTGGAGCAGAAGGAGGCTTGGGGGAGACCATCACTCCCTACAACTACCTGAAGGGAGGCTGTAGCAAGGTGAGGTTGGCCTTTTCTCCCAGATAAAAGAGAGAAGGATGAGAGGTGTTGGCCTCAAGTTGCACACGGGGACATTCAGGTTGAATTTTAGGAAACATCTCTCCTTCAGAAGAGTGGTGGTGAGGCATTACAACAGGCTGCCCAGGGGGTGGTGGGATCACCATCCCTGGAGGTGGTCAGGATTCGTGGCGCTGAGGGATGTGGTCAGCAGTCGGCGGTGGGTTTGCAGTTGGACTAAATGATCTTTTCCAGCCTTAATGATTCTGTGGTTCTGGGAGATTTTGAGGGGCCAGATGGTCAATGCAGACAAGGCACGGTGATAGAAGGTCTTGAGGAAGGGGCAGAGCTGGAAGGAGAGCACTGCAAGTTGTCTGCAGGTGCTGGGAAGGACCCTTGGAGAGTCCAACCTCCTGTCAAAGCAAGGTCAGCTGTGGCACATCACTGAGGAGACATCCTGAAGCAGTCTGAAATAAGGGACTGTATAATTGCTGTGTGCCAAGCGAGTAACATTATCTCTCCAAAAGTTACGCTTTAAAAAAGGTTGAATAAAGGAAAGGTGAGCATTAGGAGTACACAAGTGTCGTCTTCACCAGCTTAAGTGACACTTGGTATAAATAGATTTTTCCGTGCTTCTCATTATGCTTTCTCTTCCCTCGTGACTTGCAAGTAATTTTTTATGTGCAGTGCAGTTTGTGCAGTGAGGGATGAAAATATTCAATATCTGACCCAGTTAGTAGTCACCTGGCTGGTGGAAAAAAGTCTGGAATTATTGAAATTGGTGAAATCAGTGTCATCTGAATTACTTTTTGGACCTACAAGCAAAGACCAGTCACAGCTGTAACTTCAGAGAAAAGACACAGTTGTCTCCAGGAGAAGGGAGAGATTGCACATCAGTGCCCAGCTGATGGCTGACAAAAGGATGCCCACACTCACACCTAATTTGTGCAGCTGTCCTGAGCCCTTTCTTGCTTGTACAGTAATCGTGTTGCAGCTATGTATCTAAGAAAGAAAGCAGAGCTGCAATTCCTGCAGAATTCTTCCTTGCAGAAGTCAAGGCATTGTTGCTAATTAGCACTAATACGACAATGCAGGTTAAAATCTGAGTGGTGATGATCGCTAGAGGGCAGCCTGGGCTAAGATGTGGACAGGCAGCAAGGGCTGGCTGTTACCAGTCTGAAATGTTAGGTGTGAGAATGGTGGACCTGCAGTGCCTTACAGAGTGTTGGAGTGCACTGCAGGTCACTGTGGCGTGTTACAGTGTGTTGTAGTGCATTATAGATGGTGACTGGGGATAGGCAGCTATAGGGGGTGTGCAGGGAGAGAGATGAGAGATGGTGACAGGGAAGTGTGAGAGCCACACCAGCAGGCACGTGTTTTATGTGGGCTAGCAGAAAGCACAGGCCTGAAGCTGAGCTCTTCTGACACGTCTCTGCAGGATAAAAAGTCAACAACAGGCACTGGCTAAATGAAGGAAACTGCAACTTAAAAATATTTTATTAAGTGAGGAATTTCTTGCTATGTGGGCTTACTGACCTGTTGGCTCCATTTGCAGAAGGACGTTCCGGATGGGCTGAAGGAGCTCTCAGATGGCTCGGAGGAAAGCAGCGACGCGCAGTCCGACTCACAGAGCTCTGAGAACAGCAGCAGCAGCAGCAGCAGTGATGGGTGCACGAACAAGGATGGGAAGAAGAGCAGGTGGAAAAGGAAAGGTAATTTTCCTGCTCAGGAGAGATGATAACGTGGTTTCTGTGAAGGACTTCCAGCTTTTTGCCGATCCCATCTGTTGCCATATAGGGACAGGACCTTACAGGAGCCTAAAGTCTAGTTTACAGCTTATGCTGCTGACTTGAATTTACATCATAAGTGCAGCATACCTTGAAACAAAAAAAGAAATATTTGCAATTAAATGTGTGTGTATCCTTGATACAAGCATACTGTGCTTCAGACCTAGGAACAGCGGCATTGGTTTTTTACAGGTTTTCTCTTTATCCTGGGCCTTATATTGAACCCTGTATAATGAGCCCTAGGCCTAACTCTAACCCTTCTTTCCTGAAACCACTGCACCTTCTGGTTGTGGCCTCTCTCAGTGATATTGCACGTAGCACTGACTAGGAGTGAGCACCGAAGCTCTGCGATTACAGCTTGTTATGGAGACTGATGGGGCTGTGGGACTGGGCTCCATTTTCCTGCTTTGGGCTTCTTTCCCTCACAGACTCAGCAATATTTAGGTATTCTGTACAGTTGAGTATTTAAACTTACTTTCAAGCATCAGTCACTTTTAAATAATACAGGAAAGTTCAGCAACGTTTCAAGAGTACCTAAATTCTGAATGTTCTGCAGAAGAATATCTTTGGTGTTTTGGGGGATCAAGCAAAGGAAATAATGCATTCCATTCCCTTTTCAATCCTGGTATCTTGCCACAGTGTCTGACTGGAGGCTGGCAGTAGTTGCATCATGTATTAGTAACACATTGCAGTTTCCTTTGCCCACGTCTAATTCCAGAACCCATTCATTTGATCAGTGTCTGAATCTTCATTCCTCCTTCAGAATTCTGGTCAAGTATCTGTTTAAGTGCTGAATTAATTAAAAAAAATACGTGTATGTAATAAAATTTGAGGATGCAGTATACATTTACTAGAAATCCTTTGCTCTTTCTTGTAAGCAGTGGTTGCACCTTTCTCTTGTGGGTATTCCTGTGTCTTTCAGTGTCGCTGCTGCTGTTACAGCTGCTTTACCTTTAATCTGATCCTTTCTCTTTCTACTCAGTCATGCACGGAATTTCTTGGCTGAAATGCAACAGAATGAAAAGCTTATTTCCATTGCAGTGGTGGAGGCATATAAGCAGTTTTCTGACACTACTGGAGCCATGCAACAGAGCATTTAGGTCAGCTGGGGTTGTGTGGACTCAACCGTGTGTGGGGTTTTCCATGTAGTGCAAGCAAACAAAACCAAAGGAAACTGTTAGATAGAATTGTGAGCATTTAAAACACTGCAAAAATAGGCATTGTTAAAAGTTTAGAAGTAAGACTTGACTCCAAATTAATCCTTTGAAAGAGAAAGTGTGAGTAGTGTGGCTAAAATACTTTCATTCCTAACAAAGCCTCGGAATGGGGCGTTATGTAAAAAACTTGCAAGGAAGTGCAAAAATCTTAGAGAGATTGTTTGCCTAGCAATATGTGCATGGCTTTTGTGTAAAAGTTCTACATACGGTGCTACTGCTGTCAGAGCAAACAGAACCCTGCGTGGTTTGGGAACCAGAGAAAGAAGGAAGGGAATCTGTAGGCTGAAAGAGGTGGCAAAAGTTACCCAGAGCTCAAAAGCAGAAAGTTTGAAGTTAGCAGTTCCAATACAAATAAAAAAGGGAATTTTGCACTTCTTTTGTGGCCAGATACTGATTATTCTTCTTTCTAGGAATCACAGTGCTTTAATGCACTCGAAGCCAACTTCATTATTAAAAGTGTGGCTGTGGTCGGTGGTGTCACCGATTATTTTCCTTCTGTTCCCCTGAGGTTTGTTTTCCTTTGTTTGAGCAGCTCTTAATTGCTAATGAACTCACCTCTTAGTGTCACACAAAGGCATTCACGGGTTTCTGAGCGGAAATGGTGTTCTCCTTGAGCTTCCCTTTAAGAAAATCTCAGTACACCACTGTGCTGGAGCAGGGAGGGCATTTCTGTGCAATGAATTGTTGGCGCTGCAGATGCGTGGAGCTGCTGCCAGGCCCAGCAGAGCTCGGTGCAGCCTGAGTTGCCCCTGTGCCAGCAGGGCACTGCAAGAGTGAAAATGGAAGCACAGTCTCTGTATTTGCAGCTCGGTGTAAGTCCTATGAGTCCTGCTCTGGCTGAAAGTGCTGGAGCTCTGTGTAGGGAACAGGTGGGAAAGCAATATGAGGCAGTACATCATAGAATTACAGAATGGTTGGGTTGGGAGGGACCATAAAGACCATTCAGGTGCAGTCCCTGCTGTGGGCTGGCTTCTGCCCATGACCCCCTCCAGCCTGACCTCGGGCTCCTCCAGGGATGAAGCGATTCACAGCTGTACATGTACCTCACATTGCCCCAAACCAAGTGCAACACCTTGCACTTGGCCTTGTTGAGCCTTCTGGGCTCCTATGGGCCCTATTATCAGGACTGTCTAGGTCAGATTGGATATTAAGAAATAGTTTTCTCTGAAAGAGCAGTGCTGCAGTGGCACAGTGCCCACAGCTCCCCACCAGGGAGGTGGTGGGGTCACCTTCTGGAGGTGTTCCAGAGCCGTGGGGATGTGGCACTGAGGGATGTGCTCATTGGGCATGGTGGGCTGGGCTGGGGTTGGACTTGGGGATCTCAGAGGTCTTTTCCAACCTGAACCATTCCATGATTCAGTGCTGTTGGGGTTACATGTCTGCGAGTCTGGAATCCATTCCTTAACAGCAAAGTACATTTCCGAGCTCATCGTGTGGGCTGCGTTCTTCCCTTTGGCCCTTAGGTTGCCTTTAATCCTTTCAGAATTCTCCCTCATTTCACTGCCTCTTCCCACGGTGCTCTGAGCTCCTTTTGCAGTTCTCTGCAGTTCAGTCTGTGCTGCAGAAGAACATTTTATGCCAACAAGCTGTGTGTGCCCAATTTTCATGTTGTGTATGTTGAACGGTGTGGGTTGGGCATGCTTCCTCAGGCACCCTGCAGTAATCCCCCTCACTCTGGTGCTAAACCAGACAAGCATATTTCAAACTTTGGAGTCACATTTGATAAACATTTTCTCCAGGAAGCTATTATGGTTAACTTAAGTGATGTCTTTGCCGTTGGCTTTTGCTTTGCCCTTTTAGATGCACTGCTTAATTTCTCTGTAGGTCGTTTCCGTGTTTCAGTGTGGTTCCCCTTTTTATGAAGCTTAATATTACTGTGCCATGGTGTGTGAAATTCTTACAGAGATTTCTCTCTGAAGATTTTCTTCATTAGGACACGAAACCCTGCACTTCTCTCAACCAGAAGTCAGAAATTCCATACAAAAATAACATTTTTTGAGCTTATGTTGCACAAAAGAACATTTGAAGTCATAAACAAGTTCCCTGCTACTTTCTTCTTTCAGAGGTTTTTTTTTTTATGAGAGTGTGGGCTCTTAGTAAGCTCCCTCTTATCACACAGTGTGAGCACAGATTCATATTGCCTGGCCACATGTTATTCCTCTGTTCCTCTGCACAGGGACAAATGCAGCCATCCTGACAAATTTACCATTTTTGGTGACTTTTTGACCTACTGTGTCAGTGACAAGCAGTAAGAAGTCAGCAACCACAACGGGGGCTTCCCCTGGGCACTTTTGGCTTTGCTGGTGACCTCTGTACCTTTTGTTTCGCAGGGCATGTTTACTTTCTCTATGATCTCCCTCTACTCTCTCTCGTCTCATTGCAGCTGTGCCCTGCAGCTTGGCCCTGCTCCTTTGGATGCTCTCAGACACTGCAGGGGTCCTTGTTCATAGAATCCCAGAACCATTCAGGTTGGCAAAGAGCTCCAAAATCCTCTAGTCCAACGCCAACCCATCCCACCGTGCCCACTGCCCACATCCCTCAGAGCCACATCCCCACGGTTCTGGAACACCTCCAGGTTTGCTGACCCCACCACCTCCCTGGGCAGCTGTGCCACTGCATCATCACTCCTTCAGAAAGGAAATGTTTCCTATTATTCAACCTGACAGCTCTTCCATGAGACCTCCAGTAGATGTTATCGGTCTGTGTCAGTCTGTGTGTTTCATGGGGGGCTTTAGAAACATGTAGTGATGGTCCAAAAAACAAAGATAACTTCATTACGAATGGTATCTTTCAAAATACAAACCATCAGAACATAGACCAGCTTTCCACCCACCCCAGAATTTCAGCTGTTTTTCCTTCCAGGATGTGAGGGGGAAGCTGGGATGCTGTGTATGCCATGCAGTGGTGGTCAAAGCGAGGTCTGGGTCTGGATGCACCTTTGATGCTTTGTGGTTTAGGTTTGGAAACAAGGCTTGGGCAGCCTGGTCTTGTATTAATGTGGAGGTTGGTGGCCCTGCCTGCAGTGGGGGGGTTGGAGCTTTGTGATCCTTGAAGTCCCTTCCAACCCAAGCTCTTCTGATGATTCTTGTGCTCTTGGTGTTGTTTTATTCCATAGCTTTGAGCTCATAGGTTTCACCTTCTGCATGCATCTGGAAGACTTTTTTCTTTCAGCTTCATTTAGCAAAGCCTGCAGTTTAATTGTACTGCTATAATATCCAAGAGGCAGAGTGGAAGAATTTCTGCACAGAAGCACGTTTTTGCTCATACATTTGTTTGCTCTGCTTTGAAATAACCAAAAAGACATTAAATTCCAATTAGGTTCTCATCACGTTTTGTTCCGCAGCGTCAGCTCTGGAACACAGCACTCCTACACAGCCACTTCCTGGATGCTTACATGAAACACTTGGAGGGCTCCTTCCTGGTTTAAAAAAACCAAACTGATAGCCCAAATTCAGACAGAGTGCTCTGGTGGCATTGCCTGGCTGCTGGCTGCTTTATTACCTGTGCAGTAGTTGAGGTATGCTGAGCCCTTTGCGATTGGAAGCATCCCAGAACCTCATTAGGAAGCGCTGCTCATGCAGCTTATTGCATGGGGAGGAGGGCTGCTGTTGGGAGGACACAGATCTCTGATGGGAATCAGTGAAGTGAGTGCAAACCGTGGCAGACAGCGAGCAGCTGAGGTGTGCTCCCATCATTGCGTTTTGCTCG